GCTACATTGAAGATTGCCCCACTTCCCCCTCCCTACCAGAAGATTGCCCCACTCCCCCTCCCCCTCTTACTGTACCTCGTAATGCATGTCTACATTGAAGCTACATTGAAGATTGCCCCACTCCGAGCTACATTGAAGATTGCCCCACTCCCCCCTCCCTACCAGATAAACCAGAATCCATCCCTGCATCCTGATATTGGGCCAGCAGACTTTTAAACAAATTTTATATTTTCTTGGGTTTTTTATTTATCCATTATTTTTTTATTTTAAGAAATATCTTATTTATTCAATAATTTCTTGCTTTAAGAAAATATTTCTCAAAATAGTAAAATCATATTTTCTTAAGAAAATTATTTTTTGCTGGCTACGGATTAAGATTTATAGTGTATAAATTTCCTCCTAGGATGACAATGGATTTCGTCGCAGAACGCCTTGGCCACGCAAACTTTGCAGATTTACAAGAAATAGATCTTCCTCATTGTGATTTGCGCACTATTGATGTCGGGAATGGTGAGGTGTTTAGAAACTTAAGGAGGTTGGTGAAATTAGTTCAAAACTAGTTGTGTTTTTTTATTTTTTTATTTAAAACACTTTGCCATTTCGATACGGTTACAAATACTTCGTGATTATTTTGTATTTAGTATTAATTTGGAGCATAATAACTTGACATCGTTCGGTGGACTTATTCACTTGGTCAACCTCAAGGTACATGCATTTCTTTACCTATTTAGCCAAAAATTCGCCGAGACAAAATCCATTACCAACTTTTCCATAGAGACAGACTATAATTGACAAATTATATTTGACTGACATTATTCGCTATAACGGTCAAGTAACCGTTGACAATAGCTTGGAAAATTGTGTTGTGCTGTGTTGTGATCTCTATCGTTCGGGTTCTTTGTCATCAAATAAAGCTTTTATACTTATAATAAAAATAATTCGTATTAATTTATCTCTCTGCATTAATGCTCACGATTGATTATAAATAGATATCAAGATCTCATTGAAAAACTTTGTCTGAAACTTGGCTATTTTTTGTGCATTTCTGGCTTAGGTACTTTGTTTGAACTACAACAAGATTGAATGTGTGTTTCCGAAAAGGAAGACAACATCTCCAAACAGTAAGAAGGGGCCACCTGTGGCTCACTCGTCTGATGACGTCACATCTCCACAGAGTTTCACTCCTGTGTTGGAGAAACTGGAAGTACTTCATCTTGGGTAAGGGACTGGATTCAGATATTTCCTACAAATTTTCTTTCAATAGAATTTGTCTGTATATGCTTTTATTTGTTACATTTGTATTATGAAAAAAATGTGAAATATCTATAAATATATTTAATATTGTTTTAATTCACAGATACAATGGTATTTCCAACTTAAAGGCTTTACAGCTTTCAAGAATTCCGAATATAAAAGGACTATTTCTTCAAGGTAGACGCAATACTATTTTTTGTGTTCATACCATTAGTGATTGTAATGATTCGTCAATTGAGATAGCTTGACCAATTTTTTACTTTTACAAGGTAACGAAATTTCGAAAGTTGAGGGCATTCAAGGTTTGCAAGAACTCCGAGAATTGGTCCTTGATCAGAATAAGATTAAAGTGAGTATATGCCACGAACTTTATGTAACTAAACTAAACTTTATTTATGCTGGATAACTCTATCAGTTCTAAACTGTTGACTCTAGAGGCCCAGTAATATAAGGTTAATCTATTGATCCAGTGTCACTATAGAGGAGGAAACCTAAACTAAACTAACTAACTTTATACTGGATATAGCTCTATCAGTTCTAAACTGTTCTGTTACCGGAGGAAACCTACTCTAAACGATGAAATTGCCGTATTTCTTACTTCGAATCATATAGATATTGCCTTTTTCAGCGAAACATGGTTAAAAGAATCCGTTCCAGATGAAGCTATTAATATTACAAATTACCAATTATTCAGGCGTGATCGTCAACACAAATCCCATGGTGGGGTTTGTTTTTATATTAACAATACCATTTCTTGCAACCGCCTAACGGAGTTAGATAGTGATAATCACGAAGTATTGCTTTACAGCCAAAACGACTTTCACGAAATTACTCAAATATGATAATAGCTGTTGTGTACCACCCTCCAGATGCCGATTGTACAAGTATGCGTGACTATGTCCAATCTTCATTAGAATATATTGAATCTTCAATTCCTAACCCTGCAATCATTATTGCTGGTGATTTCAACAAATTGGACTTACAGGCTACTGTTAAACCTTTTCAACTAAAACCAGTAATTGATTTTCCCACCAGAGGTGCCAATATTCTTGACCAAATTTATACCAATCTATTTGAATACTATTCACCTCCTACTAGTGCTCCTCCATTTGGCTTATCAGACCATCTAACAATTGCCATGTGTCCTGGAACGAGGAAAAGATCGCACGAACCACAATCGTGTATTGTTAAAACAAGAGACAAGCGACCCAGTAATATTAGAAGTCTTGGTCGATTTCTCCAGGAAATTCCATGGGACATTTTATCGTCCATACCCTCAAATGATCAAAAACTATACTTTTTAACTAGCATTATAAACTATGGTTTGAACTTAATTATGCCTGAACGTTCAATAAAAGTCCACCCTAATGATCGACCATGGGTTAATAGTAGAGCTGTGCGGTTAACCGAAAAATTCGGTTCTTCCGGTACTTTTTTCAGCACCGAAAAACTATACGCAAAAAACCGGTAGTTTCGGTTTTAATTTCCCGTTTAACGCCCACCTGACTGCAGGTTGAAATGTTTGGAAAATAACAAAATTGTGCTCTTTGTGCACAATATGCACTGTACTAAGTGCTCAAATAGTTGATATTTTAGTTGTGATAGTTATTTTTGTGAACTTGCTTTAAATTTTTTTAAAAACTAAGAAATATTACATCTTCATAAATAAATTCCAATTGTTCTTTTAAAATATTCAGAGATTTATACAAACTTACAAAGGCATAAATTCATCTATTTAGTAAAAATGCTTGAAACATGCATAAATTAGTTCATACATTTGTACTGTTCTTCTTTTTTGAAAATAACCGAAACCGAACCGAACCGAGGTTTTTTTGTTCCAAAAAAACCGAAACCGGAACCGAGATAAAATTTTTGGAACCGCACAGCTCTAGTTAATAGCAATCTGAAATCACTGATAAATCGTCGACAAAAAGCCTTTGCATCTGGTAATGTCACTCTTTTTAAAATGTTACGTAATAAAGTTAATCGTGAACGAAAACGTTGTCGTAAGAGCTATTATCAATCTAAAGTTCATAATTTACGTAACACTAACCCCCGAGATTGGTGGCGGGAAGTGAAGCAGTTATGTGGCACATCTAAACTAAACAACAAAAGTGTAAAAGACCGCCTCCATCAAGATTTATGGCAGGAGACAGACATAAACCTCAGTAATAAAATTAACAATGTTTTTATAAATGTGATACAGAACTATGTTCCATTATCTGAAGATACGGCTGTAATTGTACACAACGATGAAACGCCTATTATTGTGACCGAGTCAACTATAGCTAGAAAATTGCAAGAAATTAATACATTGCGTTCCAGTGGCCCTGACGGTATTTCCAATTGGGTTTTAAAAACCTATTCGGATATTCTCGCCTCACCAGTTGCAAATATAATCAATTCTTCCTTTCAAAGCTGTAAAGTCCCTCAAATTTGGAAGCTGGCCGATGTGGTCCCGTTACCAAAAACATCTACTGTCAAAGACTTGGAAAGGGAATTACGACCTATTTCCTTAACTTCCACTCTATCAAAGATAGCGGAACGTCTTGTAATCGAAAGAGAAGTAAAACCAACTCTGTTAAAGGTTGTTGATCCCCAACAATTTGGCTTTATTCCAAATTCTTCCACTGTACTTGCCTTGATATCGATGCTCCATTGTTGGTTGAGTGCAACAGATGGAAGTGGTTCATCTGTTCGCACTGTATTTCTTGACTATAAAAAAGCATTTGACATGGTGGATCACACCACATTAGTTGCGAAATTATTCAGCCTTGGTATTAAGCCCTGTGTGGTTAACTGGATTATTGACTTTTTACGTAATAGATGGCAAAGGGTCAAACTAAGTGATAATTGTTTCTCAGACTGGCTCCAAGTTCCAGCTGGTGTCCCTCAAGGCACACGACTTGGGCCTTGGCTATTCTTAGCCATGATAAATGACCTTGTGTTACATAATCACCTTTCAGAAATGTGGAAATTTGCCGACGATACTACGGTCTCTGAAATTGTTGAAAAAACGAACAAAGTACTTTACAAATGGATATCGATGATATTACTACTTGGTCTATGGACAATTCCTTTCAACTAAACCCATTTAAATGCAAAGAAATGGTAATATCCTTTTCACGATTACCACCTGTTTTTGAACCTATACGTATTGGTTACCGAAATTTGGAAAGAGTGACAAGTATCAAATCGCTTGGAGTTATATTAAGAAATGACCTTAAATGGATAGACCATGTAAATTCAATTGTCTCCAAAGCAGCTAAACGTTTATATTTGTTGAGGCAACTAAAACGTGCTGATGTCGCTTCGGCAGATTTGGTCAAATTTTTTTGCAGCTGTATAAAGTCTGTTCTCGAATATGCGTGCCAATTATTCCATAGTTCCCTGCCACGAAATCTTGCAAAAAACATTGAACGTATACAGAAGCGAGCAATGAAAATAATATTCTATGAATTGTCTTACGACGAGGCTCTTAACATCGCTGGTATTTCCACTCTTGAAAACAGACGGGAGTATCTATCCAATAATCTCTTCAACGACATTGTTTTAAATGATGATCATAAACTTGCCAAACTTTTACCATCCAAAGCAGGCAATAGAGAATTACGAAAAGAAAGATCTTTTGAAGTTTTACCAGCAAATACAAATCGTTTCGGAAACTCTTTTATCAACTTTTATGCTAAGAAACATTACAAATTAGATGTTCCTTGAACATTTTAGAATTTTTAACTCATATAGATTAGTACATTTAAGTATATGATATATAGTATATATTAACAATTTTTAAATTGCATTGTAATATAGAATTTTTTACCATTTATAACCTTGTAACACTTAACGTCATGTAATTCAGTCTTCTGACTGCCAGATGATGTTTTTATTAAACAAACTATTCATTCAAACAAACTATTGATTCATTCATTCATTCATTAATTAAACTAGCTTTATTTATGCTGGATAATTCTATCTGTCTAAACTGTTCACCTTAGGGGTCCAATAAGGGTCATCTCTTATTGATCCAGTGTTACTACAGGAAGAAACCTGAACTAAGCTAACTTTATTGATATTGCATGACTCTATCACTTCTAAACGGTTTTTCCCTAAAGGTCCAGTATACATAAGATTAACCCTTACTGGTACAATATTACTACACGAGGAAACATAGATTAGACTTACTTTTATTATGTTGGATGGATCTATAAAATGTATACAGTAGTAGGGCCACCCCTTAATTGTACAACAAATGTTATTCTCGAAACCTTAGAAAGCTTCATCTTGTTGTACATTTTAACAAAATTATTAAACATAGGTTTTACACTTATATCTGACCGTTTTTAGACTCTGTCAGAAATGTCGTTCATTGGTCAACGTAGACTACAAGAACTTCACATGGAAGACAATAGATTGAGAGATTTATCAAATTTCCAACCATTGCTCAACCTACAGAGATTATATTTAGGAATGAATAAAATACAGGTATAAAGTTTCAATATCAATTGTTAAGTCTATGCAAGGAACAATCCAGTACAATGTTTTACTCTGAAAACCTCACTTGATAGAACAGAATGTGAAGGGCTTTTTGTTGAAAATTTTGTTGGATATTTAGATATTACTGGGAGAAGTTGCAACTACGATCCCCTACCCTTTTCCCTCAATGAATGTGTGTACTTGATTTTTACTGTAGGAACTCTCAGAATTACATAAATTAGAAAGAATGACAAACTTATTTGAAATTTCTCTCATCAGCAATCCGGTAAGATCTTGTTGTACAGTATTGTATTTTTTAATTTCTTGAAAATATCAGTTTTTGTTGTCTATCCACGAGATTGTTGTCGGTCGTTGCTAAAGGGGATAGACAAGAGGGTGGCTTTCAGTGGCTTCAGTATCGTTAAAACGTTAAAGAATCAACATCTAAGCACGTATTACATTCTTAAACCTAACCCTAAACCTAACCCCAATCCTAACATTAACCCATAAAGCGAACTCTGAATTTAAATTTTGAACTGCCTTAAAAACCTTGCTCTCGTCCATCTCTTTTAGCCATTACATATTGTTTTGTATATATGCAGTTAAAATTTCGATAATATAAACCAACCGATTTCAACAGATTCTGTATCTTGTATTATTGCCTTTACTTATCTTGCGTAGATCACCCGACGTCTTATGCATCGTCCTATTCTGGTGTATCGTCAACCAAACATATTATGCATTGATGGCATTCCAGTCACCAATGATGAGCGAACCAAGGCAGAGGTGTATTTAATGGATCATCAGGTACAATACTACAACTTTATTTTTACTGTATAAATCTATCAGTTCTAAACTGTTTTCTCTAGAGGTTCAATAAGGATCATCTCTATTTGGTAATGGTCCATTGGTACTACAGATTGAAATGAAGACTATAGTCGGCTGAGTTAACAACCTTGTAGTAAGATGTCAACAATTGACAACTTGTCCACAAGCTGAAAACAAACAGTGCGAACACATCCTGATAGCAAGTTGTTGACATGCCTGTCAGATGTTGGGATCCTAGGTAGCGGCGCTACCGGCAAGTGCCTGCGGCTAACTGTGATCCTTGCATGGTCAGAAGATCTTATTCATGCATAAAGAAGAAAATTTCAATTTTTCCGAATACATTTTCCAATATTTACCGACCAAATTTAATATGAGCCGTACTCGAGACGTAAATTCATCAAATGATGCCATCAAAACTTAAAATTTCTTGTTCTGTGGTCGAATTTTATTCATCAGCCGACAATCTTGTCCGCTTGATATGTGAAAATTTTCGACCAATTGGGTTGGAGCAAATTAGCGGACACTCAATTTTGACAATATGAAACATAACTCAAAAAAATATTCGGTGCGCGATCCCCAGTCGCAATTTGCAAGAGCTAACTGCAATTTTTTTTGGTTGCCTGCAAAAAACTAAACATACAGGCATGGTTGTTGAAACATACCCGCTGATTTTTATCGTATATTTTAGTTGGCCTCTGTGGTGAATACAGACGGTGCTGAATCAAACTTACCAAATTTACAAACCAAACCACAAGCTCCTCTTAAGGTAATGTCGTAGCAGTGTTTTTGAACACTGTTTTTACGTTTAAACAGTAATATTTGCATGATTGGTATAAGCCATGAAGTTTATCCTCTATATGGACGATCGTTTCAGGTGACGACAGTGCAACTAAGTACGTCGATGGAAAATGGCTGGAGTATTGGTCACAAGTTTGGTCAAGTGGAATATGTGGAAAGTCTTACTCCTCAGGCGAGATATAACGACAGGAATGATCCTAGAGGTTTGGAACTTCATTATACTGTATAACGCTTTGGGGCGTCGGTGGTTCGATGGCTGTGCTGTGCTGTGTTGTACTGTATTGTGTTGTACTGGGTTGTGTTGTACTCTGCCGTGTTGTGTTTTGTTTTGTTTTGTTCTACTATGTTGTGTTGTATTGTACTGTGTTGTTGTATTTTATTGTGTTGTGTTGTACTCTGTTGTGTTATACTCTGCTGTGCTGCATGTGTTATGTTGTGTTGTGTTGTGTTGTGTTGTGTTGTGTTGTGTTGTGTTGTGTTGTGTTGTACTGTATTGTTTCGGTGGCACAGTCGTCAGAGTAAGCGCCTTCACCTCTGAGTTCCTGGGTTTGATTCTCGCTATGGACTCGTGTGAAAAGAGTCAGTCAACGCTCTGCCGAAATTCGTTGGTTTTCTCCGGGTGCTTCGGTTTCCTCCCACAGGGAAAGTTGACAAGGTGGGTTAGGATAAACACAGTTAAGAAAGTAATATCACAATTGTTGTAAAGATAAAATAGTCTAGGCTAAGTATATAATTAGGTAAGCGTAATACTTGATGTAAAGCGCATTTTATTACATCCAATATAAATTTGTGCTAATGAAAACGTTAATCTCTTAATCTCTCTCCTTGCCATTTGCCTTCGGGAGTCTGGGACTGCACGCAGGCTATTTGCTCGGTAACTGGAATATGTTGAAACTCTCAATTAACTATTTCGTTTTTTCCTTTGTTTTAGCAAAACTTCGCGCTTCAAACTCCTACCCACCACAAAACATCCCATCTTCCTATGACGTCACACGCCATGGTCGTCACCAGCCCCCCACGTCCTCCTCCATCCATCTCGCCAAGCCTCAAGGACAGCTGCCCAATGGTGGTTCATATGTACTGCGTGGGAATTCTAATTCCAACTTTCCTCAACCGCCGAAACCCAAGTAATGTTGACCAAGGTAAAAGCGTTCTTGTACCCAGGCCCATTCCGAGGTTGGAACGTAAAGGAAAGAGCCTGGGTACAAGATTGACTTGGTATTTTGTTGCGTGTGATGCGCGCGTGACAGCCACGAAGCCGGAAAGCGAAAAATGGAGCCGGAAAGCGAGATTGACATGGAAAAGTTTTTTATACCATCAGCAATTATCCCTGGGTGCACTCGTGCTCTCCAAGAGTGTACCTGGGTATCACCGACTGTCCTACAGTGTCCCAATGTTGCTCAAAGTGTTCAACAGTGTATCCACATAACTACATCCATCCTGCCAAACATGACCGCTTAGCAAAAAAGAGAAAGATACCACGTTTGATTAAAGTATTTCGCCTGAGTCCAACCAAATAACACCTACATTTAATTTTTCACTGTCTGAGTCTCTCCTCCCTAGTGTAAATAGATGGATATAAGACGAGACTTTTGTGGATAGAATGATAGATATTTGTATATAAGAAAAATTGAGGTGGATAAATGACTAAAAGCAATACAATTGCATACACACAGTACAATGTACTACCTGTGAATATTAGTAGTGTGTACATATCTGTATTTTATGTACATTGTAGTTTTTATACATAAAGATGTTATTTTTATATGAAATATTTGTTGCGCCATTTGCTACACTTTCAAATATCGTAACACACACCAAGATTATTGGAAAATTTTTAAATTAAATCAACACAATACAATACAATATACATTAAATCAACACACAAGATTCAAGACTCCCCTTACAGTTACTATCCTTAGCTATCAAAGCCATTGAACACATTTATCATTATTGAAGTTGAAGCATTCGTATACCCGTTTTTAGCTCATATTTCTCGCAATCAATGGCCACAGTATTGAGGTCAGTATAAAAGAACCATCTCACATACTTAAATGTATAAACTTCTCATTCAGCAAAGGCTGATCAAAGTATTTCACTTTCTTATTCTTGTTCACTTGCAATGCAATTCTTGCAATGACTAGTATTATGACTATAACCAGCAAGGCCATGGTGAAGCGAGCACTGATGCTTTTCGGATCCCAATTTTTGGCCAGGCTTGCAGCGAGCGCCCACAGAATAACCGGCCAGTCAGAGTAGGTGTAGTTGAGGTATGGTTGAAATGTGAAATTCTGTAGGATGAACCATAGTAATGCGATGACCAGGAGAGCGGCAAGCGCCAGTGCACAGGCCGTCGGCATTGGTGCATTTAAGTGGTAGGTTAGCACCATAGCAATGTTTAACAGCGAAGCAATGGTCGCCCAGGCTGCATTAAGCATAATACCTAGAGAGAAATAAAATATGCATAAATTTGCAATTATGAACAAAAACACGTGTTTTCCACAAAACAAATATTATATTTATTGCCATGCACCCAATCATACAAAATTAAGAACTTAAAATATGATTGAATTGTGAGATTACAGAGGTCAGTTTAATTAAGATATATCAAGTAAGCAGTGCCATGCAGGCACCAGGTATAAGGGACGATTTGGGATCTGATGGTGTGTCTATCACAATATTCAGTTTTAGAGGTCGCAATGTACATTAAATTGTCTGGTACTTCCAAATTTGTGCGCAATTCATCTTTAATTAAATTGGTTTTGGAAAACAACCCTGATGCATTCCAAAATTCACTTTTAAGAATAATTTGGTGATAGAGATACCAGAAGACACCAAACTAGTAAACTACCCATGCATACTAACAGTAACATAAAGTTGCCACAGATTTTGCAGAATTTTCGTTTAGTGGTCATTATAGAACTGTGCAGCTTTTCATACAATCATACGTACACCCGTAAACCTCCGAATATAAGCCCTTCTGTGAGCTCAAACGAATGATAATAATTACATTGGAGTATTAATATAATATGTTAACCAACTTGTTTTATTATCATGTGTTACTGTATGTTTGTATTTCTTATCGCTCACGCCTCACGGTATAGTTTACCGGTACAATAAATATTATTTTTAATTCTTCATTTTGAATACCGTAAACCTCCTAATATATAAAAGCCCTGGGATAATGGATTCGTTCGTAAGCATTTTTTGATGGGCTTATACATGCATGGGGGCTTATATATTGTATCATATTTCCGTTTCTTTGCAATAGAGATAAACAGCTTATTTGTAGAATACAACCTACACTGGGACCCGAAGTCCAAACTCACCATTTTCAACCAAGACGGCCATGCATATAGCGTCAGCTTTATGCTGTTGTTCAAGCTCTTTCTGATACGTACTGTACTTGACATACACTACATACAAGAGCGCGTATAGAGCGACTTGATTCCCAATCAATATCACACAACTCGAGACAATCGACTCGGATGTAAACGCGTACAGCCAAGCGACGTTTGCAATATCACAAACGATGTACAGCAAATAAAACAAGCCATTTAACACCGGTGGAACGTCTCGACACTCCGTGGTTATGGCATAAACGACGTAGGCTAAATTCCATGTGTATATTAGCCCCCAAATTGAGAAAGCCCAGCCGGCCGGAGTTATATCGAGGACAAACGTGTCTGAGACATTCGCGACAGAATGCGAGAAAGGATCGTGTCCAAGGCCTGCCAAAGCGTTTAAAACGATCTTGAAAAGGTAACTGCCAAGTGCCAGTAATGATAGAATGATTGTGCTTGCTTTAGGTTGACGCATTTTGATGCTTCTGAGCTTTGGAAATGTTTTGAAATAGTTTGAAGGACTGTCGTTTTGTCGTGCTCCGGCGAGATTGAAACAACAATGAATAATGCAAATTGTAAATATGTCTCAAATTATAGCATCATGTGATATTTTGGATTACGTAACAAGAAGAGGATTTAAATTTCAAAATCTGAGTACACACTCAAAATCAGTCATATCTTGTCAGCAAGTTGTAACAATGGCACAGTAAGACGATGTTGCTATTTCACTATTACTTGCTACAACAAGCTTGACGTTCATAGATTGTTAACATGTTCCAGCAACTTATAACAAATCTGTTGAAACAACGTTAACATGCAAATGTCTATGTCCAGCGCAGTGCCAGTAGCCCAACCAGACCAACCAGTATGCTCCATTTTGTTTGCTACTTCAATGGACACACTCAGAGTAAAAAATAATAGGAAATATATAACACAGATAATGCCGACACTCGCGTGGTCATCGCAACAGTTTGCATTAATTACTTCGACAGGAATAAAACACAATCTACAGATACAGTATCCATTCATTGTACATACACAAAGTACAAACACAATCTACCATTTTAATGTGATTATATGTTCTAAACAAAAAAACTTACATTTTCTTTTGTTAATGTTCTACTAGTCTTATATCCAGTTTAATTTTATTCTACTACATGCATGCATGCATGGTTAATCTCGACAACCTATAGTTTCAACAGTATTTTTCTCAAGAATATATAATGAAACTTTTTGTACGCTTAAACTATATATATACGTACTGGTGCGCGAAATTTCGAAGGAGCATGACCAAGACAAATGCAACGACTGAAATAATTAACAGCGCCAAGGCAAACTTCGAACTGACCAGCTCGTGATCATAATCTTTCAGAACACGTGCAAAGAGATCCCACAGGACAACTGGCCAGTCGATATCAATGGAGTTGATGTTTTCCAAACTGAACCAAATAACGAGTTCTAGCAATAGGATTGCTAGAACAATGTTGCAAGATGCTGATATGTCCACACCCAATTTGTAGTGGATAATTATGGCAACGTTGGCCAGCGACGTATTCGATACGCATGTTGGATTCATAATGACCCCTATCCAAAATTAGATTTGCAGTTTTAGAGATATGAGAGGAGAATGGTTCAATGCCACGATGTGATACGGATGGTAAATTTCGTGAATCCACCGTCTACCATCGGTAATGTTGTCAATTCGTATCCACTGTACAGTTCATCCGTACCGTACCGATGGTACGGTTGGTAAGATATCGTTATCGTTCGTGAAAGTACGTTTCAAAGATCCGTTAAATGTTCAAATTGTTGCAAAAGTCGATATTTTGATGCGCATTGAAGGCTATATAACATACTTATACAGCCTAAAGCGATTAGATTGTTTGGGTACTTATAATGTAGAATAAACAAAAAAATTTTGTAAAGATAAATTTTCCAGAGCAGGGGGATGTCTTTTCTGAATCACTCCTTTTCTGAGGAGTAGCTCTTTCTGAGCAGCTTGCGCGCGAAATTAGAGCGAAATTACTCGAAATTTAAAGGTTTAAAACGCATTTTGAGTTCATGCACGAGTAATTTTTGTTATGTGTTTTATCAATGGTCCAAATATCAGAAAATTTAATCAATATTAAGTCCTTTAAATAGCTGAAACTTTCATTTTTTGTCACCAATGCCTTTCACGCATGCTTTAATTCACGCATGCTTTAATTCATGCATTTAACAATATGCAAATTAGGTAAACAAATTAACAAATTTCTCGCCCATGAATTCAAAATACGTCGCGCGCAAGCTGCTGCTAAAAAAGACCCCCCCCCTGCTCTGGAAAGTTTATCTTTACGAAAAAATGTTTGTTTATTCTACATTATAAGTACCCAAACAATCTGGATTTATCAAATATTTCATGAAATGAACGGTTTGTGGAAATGACCTTTATAAAAACTCTGCTTTGTGACGTACTTTGGATTCTCGTACTTTGTAGCCTGCTCGCAGCCCGAAATTTCGTTAAAAGGAAAACCCTATTTTTCCGCTTCAAATTTTCGGGTGGGGTCTGCTGAGCAGGATAGTAATTTGCGGGTAAAGGAAAACCCCGCACTGTCATTTGAGCTCAGCCATTTGGCTTGCATGATTGGCCAAATGATTGTATTTATGATAGCCGTTTCAAAATTGTCTACTTTCTCTTATACACCATGTATATATCGAGCTCTATATATCATGAGATAATGTATGTATACTAAAAAGGTTATATACATACAGGTACAGTTTCTAGTTCTGTCATGCTAGTATTCTTTGAGTCTCCGCTTGTATTCGTCTTGAATACTATAATTGTATATTATTTAATGATTATATAATGTTTGTCTGAAACGAGAGAGAACCCTATTTCACCATTGTAGAAATGTACCGATGGTAGAAATAATACCAGACCGTTTGGTATCAAATTTACCGATCGCAAAACACCATTATACCATCTGTTACATATCGTAATATTGGAACATACTCCAATACAAGTGTGTTCTCGATCTTTGTATGAATCTTTCGTTTGTGTGCCGAGGATCTTGGCTGAGAGAAGAACACATTCATGGTGAGTCGTCATATAGTTCATTAGATGAGTCATACCGAATGGTGAGCTGTGGAGCTGTGCCCTGCGCCGAATGGTAGAAAATGCGAGCACAATCACTCACTCGCATGAAGCAGAGAAAATCTATAGTAAAATCGAGTATAAAAATATGGAAAATCGGGAGAACCTATTTCACCATTGGTACGAATGTACTTACCGATCGCAAAACATTTTTACCATCCGTTACATATCGTAATCGTATATGAATTACTTCGTAATATTGGGAGAATATTGGACAAGGCTCGAATCTCCTAGCCTGCTCGCAACATCGAGGTCGCAACATCAGGATGCGAGAAGCAGGCTACGAATCTCCAAGCTTCCTGAGAATTGAGAATATCTTACCTTGCATATGATAAGAGTATAAAGTATCCTCAATCTTTGTTAGAGTTTCTTGATATCGGTTGGCTGAGTGCTCGGTTGGCTCTTGGTTTGTTAGAGTATCGTTTGTTATATCTTTTACTCCGAGTTATGTTATATCTATAGGAGCACGGTAAATACGGAATACGCGAGTTCGCTCAATCGAGCCCAATTAATTACTTTGGCTCCGCCTCCGCTCACCGGGAGTCGAGCCGGAAGTGGGAGTTGTGAATAATCGAGTAATCAACATCCCGCGCGGACAACGCGTGGAGAAAATTTGAAAAACGATCCTGATTGGTCGATGGGATGGACCATAGATATCTTATATACACTAGATAGTGCATCTAATTATTCGAGCATTCGAGGCTCAATTATTCTGCAATTCAAAAATGAGCTCTCAAAAATTGAAGCCGTGATTGCAGAGTGCTCTGATTGCAGACTCAGGATATTCCCATGAAATGAGAAGACTCGTATATCTTCCATTTCTTAAATTAAACAGGAAACTTAAACATTATTAAGTTAAACCTATACCAAATACATTTTCAGACTATTCAAATGATGAAAGTTATTGCCGTTTTTAAGCGTTAATTAGCGAGTGGGAAACTCCAACATGGCCGCCATCTATTCAAATGGGGGTAACCGCTGGAATGCTCGAATATTCTTGGCTTCAATTTTACTAAAACAGATGCGCTACCTAGTTTATATAACTCAGATATCTATGCGATGGACCCGTACCCCCTGTGGCGTTCACGAGGCGGCCAAATATGAGTGAATACGATATATTTTTCCTGAACATTTTCCTTCTTTTGGCGAATTTTTTGTTGCTTTCCGGCCCAAAAAGTGGCGAAGGGATTTGGGGCTAAAGAATAGGCGTTGTTTATAGCAATGATTCGTACTCTTGGTTCAGTCTGAGTATTGATGCCCGCATATTACTGTTCCAGAATACAGAACTGTATAATTTTAACTTGAGAAAGATTTCTTCATTGTTTTTGGAGGTATTGGTATCTGTATAATAAAAAGATTGTCACATTACAGTCCCAGGCTTATCTGAAAGAAACGGAGAACTAAAGTTATAAAATCAACAATTAAATACACACTGGTATACTGCTATAAGCTTTTTCTCAATTGCTACAGCAGTACAGGCCTTTCTTAATTATTGAGAAAAATATCTTTTATTTATCATTGTATAAAGAGTAATATTTGGTTCTAATTCCCTGGGTATCATTGATTCATAATAATGTATAAATACTGGGTATGATCAGCTCACAGGATACCATAGAATTTCTAAAATTCTGCAGCATTTTTAGGGGGTACACAACATCTAACTTGATATCCCAACTATAGACGCAGGGGCCGTCCAAAACCAGAAAGTCCTTACATGAGGCCTGTTTTATAGGTCGAATTTTGGTCGCGTCGAATGCAATATAGATAATGAGATGATTAAACCTCATTAAGCTTCATTATCTATTGTTTGAATTGCATTCGACACGACCGAAATTCGACGTATAAAACAGGTCTGAATGAATCTCCTTGAATTTGAAAACAACAATTCAAGGCCTTGATTCTTGAATATCCTTCAATTTGTAAAGAAGCACTTGAAAGTCCTTAACTTTTTCTTGCTTTAGTTTTTGGATATTTTCTGAAATTGTTTGACATTCAAAAACGAACATTTCGTTGAACTGATTTTGAATGTTCATTATATCTCATAACAAAGCTGTTGGAAACTTATTAAAGTTGCGTTTTGAACAATTCAATGTCAGATTTTACTGCTATTTTTAACCACTTTCCTTCAGTATTTAGTCCTTGAATTTGCTGATGCATGGCCTTGAATGTCCTTGAAAGGTGAAAAGTACGTGTACGAACCCTGTAAACAACAATTAAGATGGAAATTTAGAGCCCAAGATTTAAAACATTGAAACAAAATATACTGCATGGTGTCCCCCCAAAAAACTGGACACTGTTTGATTTCATGTAACGTAAAAGCTATAAAAGCTATCGCAATGAAATAAAGATCATTGCATTCAGAAAGGACTAACTTAGATTTTGATATATAACACTTGAATTTGCATGCAATATTGAGCGAGATACAACCAAAATAAAATTATTTATTATTTAACAAGTATAACTACATCGGTAGTTATAACTAGAACAGCATGAGGTTGTTTTATGCTAATTTTTGGCATTTTCAAAAACAGTAGTTCAACGTTCAAACATCAATAGCGCGGTCAATATTGAATGTAAATTCAAGTGCTATATATCAAAATCTAAGTTAGTCCTTTCTGAATACAATGATCTTTATTTCATTGTGATAGCTTTTATAGCTTTTACGTTACGCGAAATGAAACAGTGTCCAGTTTTTTGGACACCCCGGTATGTTACGATGAACAGGTACAATAAATATTATTACTAACATCAAATGTCGTTCGTATATATAAGCTATGCATGTATAAGCCCATCAAAAAAGAGTGGCTCTCAAAAAATGCTTACGAACGATTCCGATTAATAATTATATTGTATCGTAATTCCGTTTCTCTGAAATAGAGGTAAAACAGCTTATTTGTAGAATACAACATACACTGGGACCCCAAGTCCAAACTCACCATTTTCAACCGAGACAGCCATGCATGCAGCATCAGCTTTATGCTGTTGTTCCAGCTCTTTCTGATACGTGCTGTAGTTGACATACACTACATACAACAGCGCGTACAGAGCGACTTGATTCCCAATCAATATCACACAACTCGAGACAATCGACTCCGAGGTGAACGCGTACAGCCAAGCGACGTTTGCAATATCACAAACGATGTACAGCAAATAAAACAAGCCATTTAACACCGGTGGAACGTCTCGACACTCCGTGGTTATAGCATAAACGACGTAGGCTAAATTCCATGTGTATATTAGCTTCTAAATTGAGAAAGCTCAGCCGGCCAGAGTTATATCGAGGACGCCAAACGAGTCTGAGATATTCGCAGCCGAATGTGAGAAAGGATCGTGTCCAAGGCCTACATACATTTTGATTTTCGGGCCCGACCATTGGAATGTAGGTCTGCGCAAAACGAACTTTACATCACCTTTAATGTTCTCCTAGTCTCTTATTCAGTTTATCGAAAACTTTTTTATTTTATCAAAATTCCTGTACCGTAAAAATTGTTATTATAGACTTTAGTTTCCCGTCCTCCGCCCGCGTCTCCCAGAACTGGCCGAATATGATTTGTACATATATTCAAACTACAAACAAAGTACATTGTACATATATATACAAAGTACAAACACAATCTATCATTTTAATGTGATTATATATTGTTCTAGTCTTTTATTCAGTTTATCAAAAATATTTTCATTTTATCAAAATTCCTGTATACCGGAAAATTGTTATTATTTGTTCTAAACCAATATAATCAAAATTGATTAAAGACTAAAATTTACCATTATTGCGATTCACATTACTTTTTAACAATTACTTTGTACATTGGATACATCCTGTGGCTGTGTTTGTAATCTACAGAGGCATTGGGTTTTTTTGTGCCATCAAACTTTCCTGCTGGGGCACGCTTATTCTTGATGAATGCCTAGCATTTTGTTCTGGTATGAGAACACTGGAACCAGCTCTGGAGTTGGCACATCTTGAAACAGCCATCAAGCTTTCTTGCTCGCGCACGCCTATTCTTGACGAATGCCTAGCATTTTGTTCTGGTATGAGAACATTGGAACCAGCTCTGAAGTTGGCACATCTTGAAACAGCCATCAAGCTTTCTTGCTCGGGCACGCCTATTCTTGACGAATGCCTAGCATTTTGTTCTGGTATGAGAACATTGCAACCAGCTCTGGAGTTGGCACATCTTGAAACAGCCATCAAGCTTTCTTGCTCGGGCACGCCTATTCTTGACGAATGCCTAGCATTTTGTTCTGGTATGAGAACATTGGAACCAGCTCTGGAGTTGGCATATCTTGAAACAGCTTGGTTGTTTGCTGGTATACTACTTGGAAAAGGATTGTTTGATGGTGGTGTGATGCTGGAGCTATCTGACATTGCACCGTTTGTACCTGATGCATCGCCATTGTTGGTAGAATTATTTCTTGAAGTTCCTGACATTTTTAAGACCTGAAACTAAATAAATAGACAAGAATACATGGGTGCGCGGAAATACCAAATTTATTTCGAGAAATAAATTTGGTATTTCCAAGCGCCCATGTATTTTTTTTGTTTATTATATAAGCAAAGTTGAAAAACAATAAAACATCCGTGCCAATTCGTTCTACAACAAGTTCTCTGATTGGTGTTTGCAAAAATGATATTTTCACACGTAAAAATATCGTATTTTTTACGTGTGTTTAAATACGATTTTTCTCAGTGGCTAAAAACTCTATATAACACTTATGTTTATATAATAAATATAGTTACCGTTCAGTAATTGCAGGGTTTTTGAATTGCAAACCTTCAAAATATTGTCGAATGGTACCGATGTTACGGTTGGTTTATAAGATATCGTTACGGTTCGTGAAAGTAAGTTTACCATCCGCTAAATGTTGAAATTGATGCAAAAGTCGATATTTTGATGCGTATTGAAGGCTATATAATATACATATAATTATGGCCTAAAGCAATATTAGCTAATGATATTAATACTTTATATGGCCACTCCAAATTAGACCCGTTCTCCGCCCACGTCTCTTAAAACTGGCCGCATGATTTGTCCATTATTGCTAACTTGATGCTTGTGATGTTACTCTGAGTGTATATGTCCACACCGGGCAGGCTTGAAAAATATGCCTGGCTGGCCACGGTGGGAATCGAACCAACGACCTTTGGAATACTAGCCAATGCTCTGCCAAGTGAGCTACGCGGTCAGATCGATTCGAGTATGTGATATTTCGAAAGTGAGTCTAATCTAGTAATGATGAAATATGCCGCCTGCGGGCCACGGTGGGAATCGAACCAACGACCTTTGGAATACTAGTTATATCACATACTCGAACCGTCCTGACCGCGTAGCTCAGTTGGCAGAGCATTGGGCTAGTATTCCAAAGGTCGTAGGTTTTGATTCCCACCGTGGCCAGGCATATTTTTCAAGCTTGCCCAGTGTGGATATACACTCAGAGTAACATCACAATTATCATATTCACCTGAGTGCATTACACCAACACAAAAAATTCATGACTACAAGATTACATAGATATCGAAGGAACTAAACTCAGTTCCTAAATATTACGTACTCGAACCGACCTGACGCCTAGCTCAGTTGGCAGAGCATTGAGCTAGTGTTCCAAAGGTCGTAGGTTCGATTCCCACCGTGACCAGGCATATTTTTCAAGCTTGCCCGGTGTGGATATACACTCGCAGTAACATTACAAACGTCATATTCACCTGAGTACATTACACCAACACAGAAAAAATTATTGCTAACTTGTTTCCATTATTTCACCTTTATGACTAAGAATAACGAAAATCCGCTGTTTTCCGAAATAATCTATGGTTCAAGAAATACATATTTATGATAAAAATCAGTCGAACTAGAATTGTTGAAACTTTTATGAAAGCCGGAGCGTGAATTGTTGTTTTTGCTCGTTTTTATTGCAGTAACCGCTGAGCTAGCCACTTATGTTACACGTTTTGATTTTCGAACGTAATATAAAGATAAGATAATCACGCAGAAACGTGGCTGAATGAAAAAGTGTTTCTATTTCATGGAATAACGAATGATCGTGTCAGATTCTTTCAGACCGACCATAACGGATTTTCCAGAGCGGGGGGAGGGGGCGGTTAGCCTGCCTCGTCCCTCGTCGCTTCACTTTCGAATAGAGAACAGTGGCAGAACAATGCGATAAAACGTCGCGACCACGCACGGATGAGGGACTGTATAGAAGAGTCAGAGGTTTAGCAGCATTAGGAATAGCATGCTTAATTAATTCATGTGTTTACCTAATTTGCTTGTTGTTATTTGTAAAAAAGTAAAATAACAATATGCAAATTAGGTAAACAAATTTTTCGCCCATGAACTCAAAATGTATTTTAAACTTTTAAATTTCGCGCGCAAGCTATTTTTAAATGTAATGTTGCTAACTGAAAAGACACTTCCGCCCAGTATGGAATGTAACATTTCTGTGCACCGCACAATTTAAACGCAATTTTCGTTGTGCACCACATGTTGTGCACATGGCCAGCGGGCTCATGACCTGTGCACGTTCGATTTCGTGGGGGGAGGGGGGGAGGATAACAAGTGTGTACTAGCAACGAAGGTCAGAATTTCTGAATTTGGCAAATTTGCCAATTATTTAGTTGTTATACACCAGAGTACTAGTAGATATTAAAAATATGTAGATAACATACGCAAATGTTTTTCTTTGTTATCTAAACTACAACAATAGTGTTTTAAAGATTTCATCAAATGAATGATTTTAAACATCTAATAATTTATCCAATAATATTGTAAAAATCCAATAATGTGAACTTGTTAAATCTGAAGTGTCAAATTTATCCGTAGAGGATTTGACCGTTCAAAGTGGCGTTAAAAGTTTGGTACATAATTAAAATGTTAGCAGCCAACAAATCTTTAATGATTCATTACTTTTCATGACAGGAATGAATAGCGTCCCTTTTCCGACTTCATTCGCGTCAGAACCTGACTAGCCTTGTATGACTTCTCTGTCTTTTTCTTCATTACCCCGACACGATGACGTGGTAGTTTCAATGATGATGATCCATCAACGTAAAGTTTAGCGGCCTTTGAAATAACATCTTCAAGATTTAGCACGTTGCTTGTAGCCCAGTCAAGTATGGTTCGGTTTTCCAAAGTGGTATGCAGCTGGCGCACTTGTCGTTGAGTGTCCATAACACTGTAGAAACTTTCAACAATTGCTTCAGATCCCCCAATGGATGTAGCAATGTCAAATGCGGTCATTGCCACGCTTCCTGCTTTGTCATACAAGATTTCATTTGTGTACAACAGAGACGCTACCTTTGATTCGTCAACAAAACATTGGAATGATGCATGACTTGTAAATTTCAATGCGAATAACGGATGAAGATTGAGTTTACAATCTTCTTGTGCTACTGTTTCCATCTTTTCTAATTTAGCCTCGGGATCAGTTGTTACTGCAGTGGTAATGCCGTTATCATTCACCGGTTTCAGACAAGATAAAAGCAAATTTTTCATTGCTTTCTCCCACACTAAATGCCTGATTGCACTTTTCCATTGACGTAGCACATTTCGAGAGAGTCTTTCGTCAAAGAGCTCATCGTCTTTGGCTTTGATGTGGCTTAGGTTGCAAACTTCTTGGAAAAATAACTCAAAGCTTGCAGCTCCAAACACTTCCAGATCACCTTCTCTCACTCTAACATGATCGTTTAACAGTCTTTCTCCACAAAGAAGTTGAAATATTTCTTCAATGTCAAAGAAGTTTGCCTTTCCAACTTCCTCGGTTACCCCGCAGGTCTCAATGCGGTTTTGAAATGATGCAGATAGATCACTTGCAAATGTGCTGACTTCCTTGAAAGAATCTTCAATGGTGCGCTCGACCCAGTTCGTCAGAACTTGCTTACTTTTGGCATTACTGGTTGCTAAATTTTCAGTTCCAATAACTTTCCATCCACATTTAAGCTCGATTCCTTCATATGTTGGTTTCTCCGCATCAGGATCTTCACTCTCTGGATCATGATTCAGGAGGTTCTCATACATTAAAAAAACAAACGACTATAATTAGCTGAACAATTAATGTAACTAACCATTAGATCGATGACAGATGACTACTGTATAACATGCATACCAACTGGTCACCTTTTGCTATCCCTCTATGTCTAACTCTAAAATAAAATGCGTTCGCGAAATAGGTTAGGATTTAGGAATAACGTATAACACCTCAATATTTTCGTTCCAAATTCATGACATTCCATGGAGGCATCAAGCAACCATTTCGCCAATTTCTGAGCATATGGGTACGTTTTCCAAGGTGGAAGAGAAATACTTTGCAGCAATGTCATCACTTTCGCAACCGGTTGAAAAACATCATGCATCAGTAATAGATCAACAACAAAATCCTACAAATATAATATTAATATTGCAACAGTTGCGAGATTGTGCATAATATGTTATCATATTCTAACCTGCCCCAGAACTTGGTACTGCAATGGATGCAACTCGTCAGTCATTGCAGGTGCTGCATTTCTCAAGGCGGTGGCAAATAATCTGTACGATTTAACAAGTCTTTCCCATTGAACAAAAGCAGAACTTGCA